GAAAATATTCCATAATGCGCCCAGCTGTCATCTTGGAAATTTCAGCTGCCATTTTTAGGCGGAGATATGGTTTTAATACATCAATTTCATTACCCAGAATTTGAGCTTGATCACCTGACTTATTCAAAAAGTGAGTGGGGGGACGTTGTTACTTTGTGTTTTTTCTTCAATTTCAAATTGAAATGGTAGGTAGTGTTCTGTTCTGAAATATTTGTAACAATGAGGCATTTTGTTTATCACAGTACCTTTGTTCGAATTTTGCTGACTAGTAGCCAGAACGCACCTGATTATAAATATGTGATAGCACCATAGTAGTATTAGTAATGTATTTATATGTATCAGTGGCGTATCTAGAAAAAGCCTTTTGTAATGTAGAAACATGATTACTAAAATCGGCTAAATATTATTTATAGTCATCGGGCTATCGTGGCCTACTGAATTTGTTCAATAAAAGCTGTAATAGACATGAGAGAACAGCATATACTCAGTGACAAAAAAAGGTAAACACCTGCGTATGTTTATCCGATTTTAATAATATTTGGCATATATGTTCAGTGTCCCTTACTAGTAAAATGATCAAAATTTCAGCTTGATTCGTCAACCGACTTCAGAAGCTAGTTCAATAATGTGTTGAGGATCTACGATTTCTTATACACGCATTGACACGCCTGGGCTGATAAGGAGGTCCGATATCCTGTTGGGGTATCTCATTCCACACTGCAACTTCGTGTGTAAGAGCTGCTGAAGTCTGTGGAGGTTGTTGCAAAATTCAAGAGTCGGCGACCTATCATGTCCGAGACATGTTCAATTGGAGCTAGGTCAGACGATCGTGGTGGCCAAGGTATACGGTTGATGCGATGTTGATCCATGAAGGCTAACGATGCTGTGAGAAACATATCCTCGGAAGCGTAAGGTAAAAGTATAAGGTCTTGCTTTGGAGAAAAAGGTAGAACTATAAGCATACCCTTAGTTTCATATTCATAATGATTACCTTATACTCGCGAGGATATCCTCCAAGAAGAAGTGAAAGGTTGACAGCCTGTAGTTGACGTAGTACTGGATACAGTTTTTTATCAAATTAATAAGCATGTCATCCTCAAGTGATGAAACTATAGAAAATAGTGGCAACGACCTGCAGTTCATCGCAGATGAAATTGCCATTGCTCCCATTATTTTGCAAAAGTCACAAGTTCCAAAAATAAAAATGAGAAAGGACGATGCCTTGAAGAAGATGTTGGAAAAATACGAATCTACATTCGGTAAACCATTAGATACTAAAGGCTTATTAAAAAAAATCAACAACCTGAAATTAAGATTGAAGAGAAAACAGATATAAAAAAAAAATAATAATAATAATAATAATGCCTTTATTAACTGCAGTGAGGCGAAGTTGAGCCAGACGGCTACTCTTACACTCAACCCCACAACAGGAAAAAATAATACTTAAACACATAAGCAAAATAATAACATACCAAAAAAAAATAAATACAATTCATAAGCATGACAACATTGATTGCACGGGACAAATGCAGATAGTATTGCGAGAGTTTTAAATTTGAAACAAAAATAGTAGAAAATGGTCAAACAAAAAAAAAATAAAAAAAAAATCACATGAGCACAAGAAAAACTGAACTAAATGGACTCCAGCAGCTGACTTTTCATTAATTTCTTAAAAGAAACAACCTGTTTGGATCGATAGCCACTGTTGACTGCATTGTAATGCTTGACAGCATTATAGGTGTAACTTCTTTCAAAGACCGAGGTATTGTGAGGAGGCATGTTAAAATTAGCATTAAATCTAAGAGCTCTGGTAACAAAACCTCGGTGAACTAATTTGCTAGCGAGGTAAGCTGGTCTGTTAGATAGTAGAACTTTATGCGTGAAGACGGTCAAAAGATATAAAAATAACTTATCAATTCGCAACCAGTTGAGTTCTTTGATTTTATCTGAGACGCGACTAAACTTGCGCAATCCAAAAATAAACCTACAACAGCTGTTCTGAATTTGCTGGAGTTTCCTTTTGTGGACGTAGTCTAAACATGGGTAATACAGAACAAGAGAGTAAGAAATGACAGACAACACAAGACTTTCAGCGAGCTTTTTTCGGGTTTTAAAATTCAAGATGTATCGATTAGAATAGATGAGTTTCAAACGCAAATACGTTACTCTAGATAAGAAAGAGACATGCCGATCGAATCTCATATTTAAATCAAGGGTAACACCGAGATTCCTGGCGTAATCCACAAAAGGGATGAGTGTCTCATCCAAAAAACACAAATCCTCTGTTTCATTTCACAGTAGGAGTTCTTCGAACAGTACAACATTGCAGTAGTTTTATTGGAATTGATCTTCAAGCAGTGTTTGTTACAGTAATCACCGATGTTAGCCAAATCTAAATTGACTTTAAAAGAAACTTCATCAACCTTTGATGGATCGAAACCAAACACTAACTGAGTATCATCTGCATAAGTTTGCATACTACAGTGGGCTTGCAGATCGATCGTATAAATCAGATATAGTAAGGGACCTAATACTGAGCCCTGAGGAACTCCTGAAGGAACTGGCTCAGAGGAGGAAATTCCCTGATCAGTTTTCACTGTTTGTTGACGATTTAGCAAGTACGACTCAAAGAACCTTAGAACTATATCTGACATTCCATAATGAGATAACTTACTCAGTAGTATCTGGTGATTGACCATATCAAAGGCTTTCGAGAAATCTAACAGTACCAAGACGGTGTTGATGTGATTGTCTAAATTGTGAATGATGGAATCAGTAAGATGTAATAAAGACGAAGTAGTGCTGTAACCAGCTATGAAACCTGACTGATGTAGAGGAAATAAGTGATTTTGTTCGAAAATAATAAGGTAATTGGCCTGAGATCCGAATATTGTTCTGGATGATTAGTTTTAGCTATTGGAATAATAATACCATTTTTCCAACTGGCAGGAAAGTAACCTGTTTCGAGACAGACATTAATAATGTGAGTTATATGGTCTATGGTAGGAGTTTAAAAGCAAACAGAGGTGCATCCGGTGTATGGCGTCTATCGCTATAAGAGTTAGAGACACTATCAATCAAATTTGGATCAGCTGCAGCTGTCTGGAAAATTGAAAGAAAATAATTATTTAAAATGTTAGGCTCAAGGAGACTGGGAGGTATCGCAACATGTTTCTGGGCTATCACATTCATCCTCCTCAGGTGTTTCCAAGCTTGACTAGAGTTAAGATTCCGGAAACGTGACATATATGCTTTTTTCTCTCTTCTAAGCGATGCAAGGGCATAATTTCTCAAATCTTTGTAGCTGGCCCAATTCTGATCAGATCTGTTATGCTGATAGACAGCGAATGCCTCATCTCTGAGTTGAAAAATCATTTTCAAGTTAGGAGTGAGCCAGGGCGCAGCAGGTTTTGTGACACGTACTGAACGTAGCGGAGCGTAGAGATCGAATAGATAAAGAAGACGGCCAGTAAAAATAGAGACTTTAATATCCACATCATTCACGAAATAAATGTCCTTAAGCTGCATTGATGCAATCTGCGTCTTAAAACTTTGAATATCAATGCTATTAAGATTTCTATATGTTACAAATCTAGGCTCTATTTTTTTATAACAAACGGAAATATCACAGTATGTGAGCCAATGATCACTAATTGAGTCTGCATTGAGTGTTCCTGACCTTTTGACGATACTATTGTCACTAACAAATATTGGATCAAGTAATGTGGAACTGAAGGCTGTAACACGTGTAGGCTCATCAATGACTTGAATGAAATTGAATGAATCCAAGCAGCTGCTGAGGATGTTGTTATGAGCAAGCAAGTCGACATTCATATCGCCCAAGAATATAATGTTGTCATATTGGGGAGTGAAAATGAGATAAGATTTTCTAAACACTGGATGGCTTGATGTATAGAGCAATGTGGTGGCCTATATATAACAACAATTAACATACTGGTCCCGTGCAGTTTAAATTTATAGCATAACATTTCAAGAGGATTTATAAAGTCATCGAGCTCAACTGGGATAAGATTAGTACTAATATCTAATTTAACATAGAGACCGATGCCACCCCCTCTGCTCCCACGGTCCTTACGGAAGAAATTATACCCAAGTATAAATCTGGTAATAAAGCAATTAAATTGTTAGATTGGGAATGAAAGTTGCTGAAAGCTATGGAAGGTGACTGTAATCCTACAATTGGGAAAATTAGAGGTGCCATTCTGGTTGGTAGTGTTCAAGAAGAAGGAAGTGAATTATTTACCGAGCGCAGTGAGCAAACAGTTACTCTTACAGCGCCAGCAATTCAGAAGACATTGCCACCAAAAAGAAAATTAGCAACAGAGAAATACGAAACTGAGGAAACCGAAGGGTTAACTACAAAAGAACTGCAATGTCTAGTGCTATTACAGCAGTACCAAACAAGTATTTTACAACGAGAGTATTATAAAACGAAATTAGAAATGATGCAGCGTCAGAAGCCACCTGTAACTTATGATGAAAATAAAACTTATTGTAACTTATAAATATACTTTAATCAGTAAAACTATTTATTATAATACTCAAGTTTCTTCTTATTTGTTGACCTAGTTGGCGGAGAGGAAGTTCGTCATTCTCATGAACTAACTCAGAGTCAGGATCGCCCAAGTTCTTCGCAACATTATGGAGTACAATACAAACAATAATTATTTTCGGCACATTTTCCAACTTTACGTGGAAACATATTGTAGGATAGGAAACCGGCGTTTCAGTTGGCCGAAACAGCGTTCAATTATATCTCTTTCTTGTTTTAAAAGCTTACTATAATTTATTTCTGCACCTGGAGTAGGAGTTCTGAAGGGAGTCATAAGGCATGGCTCGATACCATAACCGTCATCGCAAAGTAGTACTTTTGCTTTATCTATTAGTTGTGATCTAGTCTGTGAATTTCTCCATATTCTGGAATCAGGCACTGATCCAAGCCAACTGACATCGACACTTGTGAACATCACTCTGGCTTCTCATGTGGCTTGCACATTTAAAGTATGTTTCCCTTTTCGGTTGATATACTCATCTCCATGGCGATTTGGTTTCAGGATTCCTATATGTGTACATTCAATTACACCAATTGCTGTCGGAAATTTATACATGCTTTGCCACGTCCGCTTGGCCACCATATGGTTGGTAGTTGGAAACTTGATCCATTCGTTCGACTGTGCAACTATGCTGTTCACAACTCTATCCACAGTCCGAGATACCGTTGCTTGACTAACACCAAGTTCCTGACCAATACCTTGTTGATATCCAGGGTCACCGAGATAGCGTAGACATATCTTCATTTTATGAATACATGAAAGTGCCCCTCTGATTCTCAACTAAAAATCTGTCCGCAAGCCATTGTACATTTGCTTCGTCGAACCGATATAATTTTTTGAAGTCACTACCAAGTGAAGGTAAACGAGGTTTATACGTTTTAACATCCCTAACATCCACAATTTTCACCATCATCGTTCGACCACCTTTCGTTACGTAGTTGAGTCTGCTCCTGACCACACTCAGAATTTTTGAAGAATATGCTTCCTATGCCAAGTATAAGGTGAAGGTTATGAATATCCTTTTACTTATGTCACTGCTTTGAGGAATATGCTTATTCTCAAGGAGCAAAAGCATTTACTTCAAATTATTATAAATACCATCTGGAGGATTTCGTTCAAAATTTGCAAGTACAAGGATATCCTTTGTTTTATGAATACGGCTTAATAAGCTACACAAAATTTAACATTTAACTGACACCGTAAATGTACGAAAACTGAATGCTTCTTTATCACCAAATAATACACGCAGCCACCAAAATCTGACTATTTTATCACTTATTCATGGCAAGATAAATCGACATGTAAATCATTCTTGAATTCTAATAAACATACGTAGGTGTATACCTTTCTTGTCACTCAGTATATTATAGTATAAAAGAATGCAAACTGATTGGTTGTATCGTAAAGCACCCTACCCCAATTTAGTTTATCATTTTTACTCAGGAAGGAAGCAGTAAGCTCATTATCTTTCAAGTAAACAGATTTAACAAACTCGCCTATCTATAAATCGTCATTTATGAAACTATTATACAAATTGAGGATGCGCCTTATGTTTACTAGTAGTCAAAATAACTCGGTAATGTGTACAAAATTACATTAAGATAGAATACAAATATACTAATTTTAATAGCCTGAACTGCTTATCGGACCCTTAAATATAATTAAGAAAAAACACGAAGTTTGGGATTACAATAATAATAATAATAATAACGATGACAGTAATAATAATAAATTGTCAGTATTCGATTCTTTGACATATACTAAGTGACATATAAATCCGAACACCCAGTTTAAATGGTTTTATTTTAATAAAATTTTGTATAAGTACTTAATGAAGCATAATAAGTAAATGATAAAAATTTCAAAATGATTGCACTGCTTTAAAGCCCTTTGACCTTTAATAATGTGTGGATGCACCCTGATGTGATTCTCCAACGCGCCTAGGCATGCTTCTGATCAGGTGGCCAATGTCCTCCTGTGGTATCTCATTCCAGGCAACCACCAACTCCTCCCGAAGTGCTTCTAGAGTCTGAGGAGGACGTTGCAAAATGAGCAATCTCCTACCCATCATATCCCACACGTGCTAAATTGGGGATAAGTCGGGAGATCTTGGTGGCCATGGTAACAATGTGACATCATTATTATTGTGACTCTTGCAACATGTGGTCGGGCATTATCTTGTTGGAAAGTTGGATCTGCCAGGGTGTCAAGATAGGGTAAAAGATGGGGTTCTAGAACTTTGTGGATATAACGCTGCGCGTTCATGTTACCTCTGATGAAGATTAAAGGTGACCTTGAACCACAAGCTATAGCACCCCAAACCATAACTCCAACAGTGTGATGAACATGTCTTTCAACAAAAAACTGTGAATTCCTCCTTCACCACGTCGCTTTCTAACCCTGGCACGACCATCGTGCATGCCTAAACAAAATCGAGACCCGTCACTAAAGACAATACTGTTCCATTCCTGATCCCAGAGTGACCGTTGTCTGCACCACTCAAGGCGACTACGTCGGTGTCCTAGAGTTAAAGGGAGGACCCAGTGTGGCCGGTATGAAAACAAGCCAAAACTTCTCATTCGTCGGTAAACACTTCGCATGCCAATAGGTCTTCCGTGTTCTGCAAACCATTCATTTGCAATGGACCTGGTAGTGGAGAAACGGTCCCTTAAGGCCAATAATCTTAGGCCGCGATGTTCACGGTCTGTTGTTCTACGGCGGCGTCCAGTGCCCCTTGCTCTTTGCGTATGGCCTTCTCGAAGCCATGCCTGACAACACCTAACCACAGTGTCTACACTTCTTTGCACTCTAACTGCAATTGCCCGAAAAGAAAGTCCAGCTTCCCGAAGTCCCACTATACGGTCCCTATCAAACTCACTAAGTTGACGAAATCGTACAGGTCTCCGTACTCTAGGCATCGTAACCGATCGTAAAGGATGTCAAGAACCAAAATCCGCCAACGTTGATTCTTTACTGCGGCTGAAATATTCATTTTTAGAGCGTTAGTGAATTAAAAAAAAGCAGTATAAAAACCGGAATTTCCAACTGATAAGGCTGAACATTTTTTCACTTGTTATTTACAGTAAGATAAATACATTCACCAACTTTTATTAAAATAAAACCGTTAAAACTGGGTGTTCGGATTTATATGTCACTTAGTATAATATGTCCAACATAGAACAATATGCATTGATATGTCACGACAATTTTGAGAATAGAATCGGTGGAGAGTCATCATGATTGCATTTTTTAACTCCCTTTTTGAACGGCTCAAAAATGAATAACAAGTGATTAGCGATCTATTAGTATAGAATAGATTTAGATTTTTTTGTAAGACTAGGTAAAGATATCGTGTGTGACCAATTTATTTCAAAACTATGGAGATAGATTGGGTGGCAGAGTGGTGAGGGATTGATTATGTACCGCTTTTTTTTGTAATTATTCACAGTATAATTTCGGAATACCGCTACAACAGGATTGTATAACTTGGCGGCAGTATAACATAAGCTCTTTTTGTAGAGAGAGACGTAAAGTGCTCAGAAATAACTAATAATTGTCGATTTCTGGTAGCCAAAAGTCAAAAGGTATTCTGGCTTTTTATTCACTGAAATTTTATGAACCAAACATAAACTTTGGTATTTTCTGAGATTCTCCATGTTCATTTTACAATTCTCTTTGTACACATGGCTTATATGATCAAGTTTCCGTTTACGTAGAAAAAAAAAACGGTAACAAGAACTTTGTAGCCGTTGTAACTTGTTTTTATCACTTTTAATTATACACTTGTGCAGTATGAAACCCTTGAAATTATAAAACCTTCACACAAAAGCATTTTCAGTTTACTGCTTAATGGCAACCCTCACATTGTCTTTGCTTGAAAACGAAACGCATTTTCGGGGATTCCCGCAAATAATGCATACGTTTAGTGAACAGCGAGCGGTAATTCCCCTACTCGCTTTAGAACCGAGTAGGGGAATTACCGCGCGGTGTTCACTTGTCTAAATTTCCTCTATCAGTGTATTGTTTCGTTTGGATTCTATAGCTAGTAGACGTATTGTAAGCATAGTAAAGCTAAAGTTAACATTGGTGATACTATTGATTTCATAAGCCAAAATTTAATGTTTAAATAAGATGTCGTTTCACATAGACAAATCCAAGTTATACCAAAAATTGTTTGAAAGTTTTAAACAATCTCATACAAGTACGAAAGTACAAACTGTACAAAAGTTAGTTAACGAAGTGTGGCGAAATTCCAAATTACAAGCAAAATCCGACAAGGAACTAGATGTTATTGTATCTAAGAGAATCGAAGAAGAATTGCAAGCGTCGACTAAGAATAAATCCAATCTACTAAATTTTTTTTCTAACGTGAGTGACTAAATTATTTTAGGTACCTATGAGTACTAGAAATATTAGAAATCGCCAAAAAGTTTCTCTTTACTGATTAGAAAAATTATGGCCTATCTCAAAGTATAGAGGTAATATTCATTATATTATAGATTTATTTCTTATGATTGATTCCGTCAATTGGTCACAAAGTACAGGATGTTAGTTTTATACATATATACAGAAAACTAACACCCTGTATTTTGTGTCCAGATCTGTCACCTATTGAAACTTTGTGGCACGAGATGAAAAAGGTTCTACGACAACATCCTGCTCGTACAATCACCGAACTGAGACAAAAGATTCAAGAGATATGGGATTGTTTTACACCAAATTTTTGCCAAAACTTGGTTAACACTGTGCCCCAAAAAATTTCAGCCGTAATAAAAAATAAAGGTATGTTACCCAATGGTAATCTTTCAATTGTTGCTTTGTTAACTTCGCGCATTTATTCGCACATTGTTTATTTGTTCAGATGTTCTATTAGTTATAGGTCTAAGTGATTTCAAATACGTATTTTTTACGACTAGATTGTATCTAAAATGTTTTTGAGATAATAAATTGTTTTAGAAGTAAATAGTTTCGTCATGTTTAGTTTATAAAGGCATATTTTGGTACAAATCTTGAAGTGGAAGAACTGAAGTGGGAAGAGGCTCGTACTCACTTGAAAAGCTATTATATAGTTTGGGTGCTACGTACGAGAAACTACGTGTGAACAATGCTGTCGAATGCCGCGGGATGAGTAAGATGCGTTTATTCCTAGAGAACCTTTGATCGTACTGACAGAGGAGGGTTAATTTTGAATAACGATAATATGGCGTTTTAACTTGTATCAAAAGCCTTACTGTTATCGATGATACAAAGGAGCGCAATTGTGTCACAAGTATTTGGGAAACCAGTTTGTAGTATAATACGATTATATTTATTTTCGAAATATTTTATTGGGCAATTCGGCGCTCCATAATCTTCTCTAAAATTTTGGAAACGTTTTTAATATACTTATTGGTCTGAGGTCTGGTATTTGTTTTACATTTGATATTTTGGATATAGGTAATACTTTTGAAATTTTTCACATATCTGCAAACATATTCCATACGAGGCAACTGTTAATAATAAAAGTAATGTGATCTAGAAGATGAGAAGATTCTGGTTTTTATGACCCCGCACTACCTTAATCGAAATCGAAGCTGTGGTTGCCAAGATTAAGTTGTGACTATGACAGCACATGGATTGTCCAACTGTCAAACAGACACGAACTTACGTAAAGTAACACAAAACGAAATATATACGAGGATTGGTCATTTGAAACCCATCTTTGGTCAAGTTAGCATTGGAAACAAATCTAATCACCCAACTGA